CATGTCGACACCAAATATTGCAACTGATTTTCCTCTTTCACATGGTCTTTCTTGCCCACTACCACATTGACTACCATCAATGTGACACCTCCATGTTCCCCGAGTTCCAAACTTGTCACACCTAGCGGGGTGATATAGTGAAAGTATGCGAGACCGAAATATTGAACATTCAGACATTTGCCTTGTCGATACAAAAACACGCCCCACTAGGCTAATAACTACTTGGTCACGTGATATGTAGACGGTATTATTTGACAGATTTTGTGGCCTAGTAATGCTTACTTACCCCTTGCAGCGAGTCAATGCGACTAGTGAGGCGTTTAACCACGATCCGGAATTTACACCACTTGGTTTTATAAAAATCGACGATCAATTATCACATATGATGTAAATCAGGCTAAAGGGGAAAGCAACGACGTAATTATCTTAGCCTAGCCGTGGCCGGAGTTGATTAGTGACACCCGAGTTCTGCTTCGAAATAAATGCTTTGCCAGATACTTTCCCAATGTGGCACTTCCGCTGTATTTGACCTTTCCTTTAGACAGCATGCTAATGAGAGTCATTCAAATTGGCTAATGGCGAATGACAGATGGTAAGTATAATGATATGGTCAAATGTGAGCAGAAACATATCCGCGTGATTTGCATCTCGATGACAAGCAAACAGTCTCTGCATCCCTTACGCGTTAGACACCGGAAGTGGTAACGCTGACCCAAGATCTCATTGGTAAGACAAGAATGAATGATGACATTTTCAGCATGCTTCCATCAGTCGGCAAATCATGCCCATCGTATAGGCACGTCCTCATGGGTAAGCGTTTTTACTACTAATAGGCAGTCATTGGGTGCTTTCTAATGCAGCGACTATCCCCTTGACGTCCATCATAGAAATTCTGGTCTACCAACGTCCGAACTGGGCACCAAAGAGGAGGTGTCAATCCACCCGCAGACACACTCAGGTATACCCAAAATGGCTTAGAATACTGAAACATCTGAATCATTAATCCTTGTCTAAATGTCTCTTTACGACTGTCGGAGCCATAGCCAAATTTGTATCGTCTAAATTTGACATTTGACTTTGTTCCTGCGTGCAAGTCAGAGTGCTACTTATATAAAATTTTCGTAAAATTAAAATCATACATAACTGCTCTGAAGTAGTCGATTTAGTGGGTCCATATTGCTCACTTGGCCATCATCCA